AGCAATTCTTCATCTGGATATTAAAGGGCAGAAATCTCAGCTGGCTCAGGAAGGCCCAGAATGTGCAAAATTGCTAATGAGAGTGTGTGAAGTGGGTTTTTTGTTCTGGGCTGAGGGTCCATCCCTTTACGAGCTCATGAAGGAACCTCGGATGCAGACAGTGGGTGCATTCGTGGCATGCAAAGGTGGCAAGGAGCTTTGGCGGTTCCCACCTAAAGGCCTCGATTTCCTCCAAAGTCAGATGCCAGGCCTCTGTGGGCAGCCGATGTAGTACGGACCCTAGCCCTGGGGAGACCCAAGACCTGTCCTGGCAGCAGCTCCCATCGGTCCCCTCACAAGCTGGCCTGGGAAGCGGAGGACAGGGGTGGTCACAGCGATGGGGCTGGAGTCTGGGTGAGAGTTAAGTCAGATCAGACCGCAGACCGGTCCGTGCCGGGAGCCAAGAGCACCCCACGCCAGCCACATCCAAATCAAGAATGCCCAACACGGCCCTCTCCCCAAACCCGTCCCTCCCATTCCTCCCCAAGCAGCACTTCCGGCAAGCCCAGCCGTCATCCTCCTCCTCGGCCCGCGCCCAGCCACAGTTACCTTAGCAGCCCCACCTCCACGAGGCACCAGACCCTTGCCACCTCCAGCCTCACTCCCTGGTCACTACCGCCTCCTCGCCACTGACTGGTCACTGGCCTCTCTCCCCGTCTACCAGACAGTCTCCAGGTGGCAACCCAGACTGATTCTGTTAAATGCTTATTTTGAAATAATTTCAAACTCAGAGAAAAGTTTGAAACAGTACAAGGAATGGCCACAAGACCTTGCCCGGGTCCTGCAATTGTGAACTGCCGTCTCACGCTGTTGTGTGATGTCACTGGGTCTTCGTCTCCCATATACATAAATTGTAGATTTTATCTTTTCTCTTCCTGAGCCATTCCTGAGAGTAAATCATGGACATCACGCCCCTTGCCCCTAAACATTTCAGTGTTCCCACTTCCTAAGAGCAAGGACATTCTCTTACATAACCACAGCGCCGTTATCAACTTCATGAAACATAATATTGATTTGATACTATCAGCTAATCTACGGTCCATATTGGTCCATATTCCAATGTCGTCAATTGCCCTGATGATGTCCTTTAGAGTAATTTCTTCCCTGCTCCGAGATCCAATCAAGGGCCACACATTGCCTTCTGCTATCACATTTTTTGTCTCTTTTAATCAGGAACAGTGCTCAGCCTTCCTTTGTCTTGCATGCCATTGACATTTTTTGAGTCCAGACCAGTTCTATAAAATGTCCCTCCATTTGAGTCACTCCCTCTGTTTAAAACCCTCCAATGCCCTCTCATTCCTCCGTTTGAAATTCCAAGACTTCATTACTGGCCTTCAGGGAGCTGCAGGATCCCACCCTCCTCCCAAGGCCCCCTTCCCACCTCCCCCCAGCTCTGGGCACTCTCAGGCTCACAGGCCCTAACTCACCACTCAGGCCAAAACAGACACCCCCACTCTCTTTCCTTCACGACCTGAATCTCTATTTAAAATGATCTCCTCTGCTGATTTGTGTGTTTACTGCTTGGCCCCACACTAGGACGGGAGCTCCAATGAGGGCAAAGATTTTCGTCTGTTTGGTCACTGCTGGATTCCCAGGGCCAGGGCGGTGCCTGGCACGCAGGAAGCCCTTGGAAGTCATCCGCTGAGTAAATGAACAAGCATGGAAAGGGGAGCACCGGAGTAGAGAGCTGAAGAACCAGGAGGCTCAGAGAGTCAGGGGGCCCGGGAGGCCCTTCCACATTCCAGAACCTCCCCCAGCCTCCCTTGTGCCTCTGACCAGACCAGGAAGGACCCAGCAAATCTCCCTTATCTTTGGGATCACCTCACTCCACCAGCCAGTCCCACTGATTAATCTTTTTAAACCAGTCCTAGTAGGCTGCCAGGCTGGATTCCACAGATAGAGCTAATCCGATCCTGGAGAAGGTCTGAGGCCCCCTATTGTCCACTGGCCAGTCCAAAGTGCAGGGCCTCCCCATCCTGGTCCTTGGTCCCACCCCCCATTCACATACTCTCCAGGGGCCAGCCCCAGGAGTGGGGACAGGGAGAATAAACAGCCAAGTACAAAATCCTGCTAATAGTTCTTTAATTGCAACGTGAGGACTGAGTCCAGGCCTCAAACCCCAGAGCAGAGGCAGGCCTACCAGGTGCTTGTCACTTATGTGTCCATTTCACTTACTGCTGTGAACATTTAAGGGCTCACACTACAATACTCAAGGTTACTGGACAAATAAAGCCACCCTTCATCCCCAACACCATCATTCTTGATTTCACCTCTTCTCCTGCAGAGAAAAGAGCCAAACCCCTTGGTCTGGACCCACGATGCAGCGGCAACCCCTGTCAACACCTTCCTTGATGGGGTTCCAGCCACACCCCAGCCAGGGTCCCCTCCAGCTGTCCCAAGGCAACTCCCTCTGCCTAGGACTCATCCACCAGGCGCTCCCGCCCACGCCGGAGTCCAGAGGTAACACGGCCTCTCACTCCCTTGCTGTGTGACCCCGGGCAAATGGCTCAGCCTCTCCAGGCTTCCCAGTACAAAAATAAACAAGTAAAGATGGGTCTGATAACGCTGGCGAGACCTAAGGAGCTGACAGCCAAGAAGGAGAGGGTGTTGAAAGAGAAAATTTAGCACCTGCACCCCGCAAAGAAACGGGAGTGGGGTGCTGGGTTGAGGAATTTGTAATCCGGCCCCACCCCAAGCAGTGAATGCGGAGCAGGCTCCCCACCTCCTGGCTAATGGGATTAGCACCGGGCTCCGCTCTGGGCGTTGGCCTGGGGTCCGAGGTCTCTGTGCACCACTCAAGGTGGGGGCAGCAAGGGTCAGCGCCAGCCCCCCATCCTTCCCTCCCGAGTGAGCACAGGCCAAGGGGCAGCGCTTCCCGCTCCCGCCTGCTATTTCCTTCGTGACCTCAGCCGCCCAGCATGCAGAAGTCAGGCAGCTCCTAAAGCCCAGCATGCAGAAGTCAGGCAGCTCCTAAAGCAGGAGGCGGAGGCGCCGAGACAGGTCTCTGCAACCACCTCCTGCTGGACTTCTGGTCCTGTCTGCCTCGGTCACGTCGCTTGGCCTCTCCTGCCTCAGCCTCCTCATCTACCTAATGGGCGTAGGGCGCTCCCACTGCTGCGTTTGGTTAGACGCGGCCAGGCACAGTGCGCACACGTAGAGGCGCCCCAGGAGTAGTGGCTGTTGTCTCGGCTTTCGATTAGGGCACCTGGTCTCTGCCAGGCCCGAGCCAGATCCGAGCAGGAGAGTCTTCGGCGCCCTCTCCCTGACTCTCGGAAGGCAAGCGAAGGCCCCGCCAGCCAGGAAGACCCGGGATCTGACTCCCAGGCCACGGAATTCTGCCACCACCCCGGGTCGGCCCGAGTGACTAGATGAGCTCAAAAGACACGCAAACAAAAATTACCGCAGCCTCTGGGGACACGCAAAAGGGGACGGCTCAAGTGGCCCTTTGTACCCCAGGGCCGCCCCCAACCCTTCCCCTAGGATCTCTCTAAGGTCCTTTGCCTGAAGCGCACCACTTGGAAGAAAACCCTCGCGCTCGTCGAGCCCTCCTGGCAGAATGCAGCCTCTAGTTCCTGGGGGCCACGACCCGGCGGTCCTCGCGCTCCCGCCGTCGGGGATCTCCGCGCTCCCGGCCTGCGCGTGCCCCTCCCCCGCCCAGCCTCACAAAGGCCCTTTGTCCCGCCGAGCCCGGGGACTCAGGTTCCTGAAAAGTTCCAGGAAAAAACCCAAGAGGCAAAACCCGCGAGCACTGCCCAGCGGGCAGAGTTGGGGGTTAGGGCCACGGCAGCGCTGCGGCCAGAGGTGTCCCCTCCAAGATCCCAAGGCGGAGGAGAGCGTCGGGGATCCCTGAGAAATCGCAAGAGTCCTAGACTACACTTTGAAGTGGGAAAGGTGGAGTTTTTAGAAGTTGGACCGTGGGACGCCAGGCACAGAAGCTGAAGGCAGCGCGGGGAGGAGGGACCGGGTCTCCTGTGGCGGCCGAGGGCAGGTCTGGAGGCCGCGCGTCTCCCTTCCCACCCCGCCCGGCTGGAGCTCCGAGGCCAGCCCGGGGCAAGTTTCTCCCTCTCCGGTGCTGTCCCACCGAGCCTGGCTAGCCCCTCGGAAACAGCGGAGGCCGCTGGGCCTTCTCGGCCATCTCCTTTAGCGGTTCGATGTCAGACCCAAGGTTTTTCCTCGGCCGCTCTTGCCCGGCCCGGTCCACTCCTGCGCCGCTTCCTTCGGGATGGCGGCGGCCCGGTTTCTGCGTCCCTGCCGCGCTGTGCCCCCGCCTTCCCACCGGAGAGCAAGGGTTCCTTGGGGCCGGGGTCGCTGCCCTCCTACGGGGTGTGGGTCCTGAGACCGCCGTTCTCTTCCCGGCGGACAAGGGATCTTCCAAACGCCTCTGCCCACCTGCCAGAGGCCGTGGTCCCAGGACTGGGGTCATCGTCCTCCCCGCACCCCCAAAACCGCTGGGGCTGGCCTGAGACCCCGCACCGCACGAGTGGAAGAGCCAGGAACGGAACTCCGGCCCACCGGCGCCAGCAGGGGCGTTTGCCAAGAAAAGGATTCGAGTTCGGGCAGCAGAAGTCTCAAAGGATGTGGGGCTGGTTTGTTCTTTTCTTGCCCAGATTTTAAAAACTCCAGCCCAGGCTCGTGCCGCAGGGGCTCGAGGGTTGGAATCGTCCCTAGTGGCTCCGATTTCGCCAGACACGTGCGCCTTGGGAGAGACTGGTTCGCCTGGGAAGGCAGCGAGCCGCGCGCCCCTCTCCGCCGGGGCCTCCGTACTGGCCTCTGCTCTGAGCCCAGGGGTCTCCCTGCCCCGGGAGCTGAGCCTGCCTGCACTCCCCTGGACCGGCTAAAGGAGAGGGGGGCGCCGCGTCCCCGTCGCAAACGGCTGGGACAGACCGAGTAGTTTTTCCCAGGTCTCCCTCCCCAAGATCCCGGAGGGAGAGGAAAGGACGAGCATAGCGCAGGGCACTTACCCGGGTGCGGGTGGAGGTTGAGGCCGGCCATGTACTTCCCCGGCGGCAGCGGGCCGGGCAAGCCCGAGGCGGGCAGGCGACCGGCCGTGGCCGCGCCCACGCGGTGGCTATCCATGGCCAGGCTGGACAGCAGCGGCGGCGGGGGGCCGTGCACGGACCGCGGGGGCCCGAAGTCTCGGCCATCCATCCTCCGCGGGAGTGCCGCGGCCAGCCCCCCACCCGGCCCGAGGGCCTCGCTCAGTGGGACCTAAAAGTTCGGCCTCGGCGTAGTCCCAGAGTCCTCGGGCGGCGGGGGCTCCGCGGCGTGCATGGCGGCGGCGGCCAGCGGGGCTTGCGCTCGGCGGCGGGCCCGCAGCCCGGGGCGCACAGGCGGCTGGCGGTGGGGCCCCTCCGGGCGGCCAGGCGGAGCTGCGCAAGGCAGCGCACACGGCGTCTTGGCGGAGAGAGGAGACGGGCCGCGGAAGAAACAGAAGGGGACAAACGGGGGGGAAAAAAGAAACAAGTTTCAGAAAGTCGTCTTAACGTTCGGGATCGGGGGCTGCCAATCTGGTGGCCAGAAATGAAATCGAGAGTAGCCCCTTTTCCATAAAAAGTAAAAATCCATGTTCCTTCCTCCGGCAGCTTCAGGCTCCCGGGGACCCGACTCAGAAGTGGCCGGTGGCGCGCTGCGCCCCTGCCCGGACTCTGCCTCGGCGGCTTACGCGTCCTCCCGAAGCTGGGGAAGGCCCCTCGGCCGCGCCCGGACTTAATAAATACAAACCTCCGAGTAGGTTTGATTTGTCGGCGTCACATGCTCCGGGGTTTCAAACCGTAAAACCTTTCCATGAGCAGTTTGAAATGTCTCTCTAAACACTATGTCACTGCCTGATCCGGAAAGTTTAATATTTAACCTTTGGGGGCCTTCGCCTCCCTTTTCTGAGTTTGGTTTCCCCGAGCTCGCCTGGAGCCGTCAAATTCGTGGGGTATTTTTCGGAAGAGAGGTGCAAAGCGAGCTTGTTATTTTTAAGGAGACTCGCCGCTCCTTCCCGCCGCCCCCTTTGGGCCACTGGGAGTCGCAGAGTCTAGGTCCAAGGCCCCGAGACGTGGCATTCTCGCCCGAGGACTGGCAAGAATCCTTCAAAACAAGCTTTGGTTTCATTTTCCAACGCCCTGGCCTGGGAATCCTGCGGCCCGAGGACGTGGCCTGGCGCGGGAGATTTAGGGGGCGTCAGAGGGGAAGGAAGGGGCTCAAGGGTCTCGCTCCTACCCCAGCTTCCCCCCAACCCCAAAAATAACCTACAAAGGAGAGCTTCGCAGCGCAGGCCGACCGAGGGGCGCCTTCCCCAGCGTTGGGTAAATCCCCCTGTAGTTCCAGTTTAAAGCTGTTTGTTTAAAAGATTTGTCGTTTGCCGATTCCCGTGGGGGGGGGGTCTCGGAGCCAATCCCGCCCTCGCTCTCCGTCTGCCCGCAGCAGCTCGGATGCCTGATTCCGGGAGGCCCGGACGCTCGTAGAGCGTTGGATCACGCCAAAGCCACCGGCTCCCGGGTGCCCGCCCTGCGCCCTGCACCCCGCGACCGGAGCCCAGCCCCCCGAGCTGCCGACCCCCTCAGCCCAAAGCCCCCCAGCCTCCTTCTCCAACTTTGCTAAGGGTGCTTATTTTTACCCGGTTTTGGTTACAAACACCCCCTCCTTCTCTCCCTCCCATCAGGCTCTGGTTACCAGATCCGCGTTTACTTTGGAAAAATCTAAGATCGCCACATCCGAGGATACATGTTCTAAGGAGGCGATGAGCTTTCCGTGATTTTTTTAAAAATGTTCTTTATGTAGCTTTCTTTTAAAACCCAGCGCTTCGGAGCATGCCCTGGCGCCCCACTTAGGGGAAGTCGGGGTGAAGCCCCCCGAAACACCCTCGCTCCGGCAGAAGCTGGCTCGGCCATCTGCGGGCTCCGCTGCGTTCTCCCTACTTTTCTCCCCCTCTTAAATGCAGTTAAAATGGCTGAATTCCGGCTTTTAATTAAAAACAGCCTATAATCGAAAACGTCTCGGCGTCCCTGGCTCCCCCGCCGCCTGCTGGGAACCGAGAAGGGAACCGACGCCCCTCGGCCCGGCTGGGCGGGCTGGAGCGGGGCTGGGGGTTCAGGTGGGCGCCCGGGGCGCAACGGCCTGCCCCAACCCCTCCCAGGGCGCCCCCACCTCGCCGGCCCTGGTCCCCGATTCCGTTCTCGGCGGTCGGAGAACTGCGGGGATCCCCGGCGCACCCTGAGGGGGAGGCAGGATGGAGGACAAGCTGGAGAAGTTTGGAGACCATCACGCCCGGCCAGCGGCGGGCGGGCGTCCCGGCGGCGTACCTGGCGCGGCGGGGCTCCCGGGTCCGGGCTCTGGCGACGGCGACTCCGGTGGCGGCCCCGGCTCCCGGCGCGGCTAGGCGCCCGTGCTGCCCGCCATCCCGCGGCCGCTGCTCCCCTTCGCCACCCGCAGCCGCCTCACACTTTTTGCCCGCCTTTCCTTTTTTTGGTAGAAAACCGCTCCCCGGGCCGAGCGCTCGGCGCGCCAACTCCTCCGCCCTCCCGCGGCCGGGCTCCCGCAGCCCCCGGAAAAGCCAGCTTTCCTCCCGCCGAGCTCCCCGCTTTTTAATAAAATCCAGGTAGCGCCGGTTTAAAGAATCCCAAATCTCCATATACAGCCCGGGATTGGAAAAGGTACATTACACAACCCCCCTTTCAAGTTCCTCTCGCTGGATCTAAAAAAAAAAAAAAAGCCAGCGCAGGGGGGAGGGGGCGGCTGGGGGAGGGGAGTACTCTCGGGCGAAGAAACACGCATTGTTCCCCGGCGCCCGCCTCCCCCCCAGGCCGGCCCCCGGCCTCCACTCATTGGCCGCGCGCGCCGCCAATCACGCGCATGTAAACACCTTGGCCCTCAGCCATTCCTATAAAACCAATTACGGACCAAGGGGCTCCAGCAGTTTCCAGGCTCCCCTCGGCGGGGCTGAATGATCAAAACTGGTGGTGAGAATTTTTCCGGGCCGTTTCTAGGCAGCCCTCCCCCTCCACCAGCTCGGACCCCCCCTTCCTCCTTCTCCTCCCTTTTCCTCCCCTCCTCCCCCAGCGTCTGGGCTGAGCGATCAAAATAGAGGAAGATGGTTGTCGCCGCAATCCAGGGCTTTGCAAGGCGCGGTTTAATGGGCCGCCTGTCAGCTTCCTGCTCGCAGGAGGAGGTGACAAGCCGAGCGGGCCGGGGAAGGGCCTGGGGCCCGGCGCGCTGTACCCCACTCCGGGGCCCCAGCCCCCCACCTCCCCTAGGGCGCGCCTTCTAGAACGCGCGGCGGAGACGCCAAAACAGACAAGGGCTGCTTTTTCCCTTTTTCCCCCCCTCCCTTTTAAAACAAAGCAGCGATTCATTCCCTCTTCCCGAGCAGCCCGGTTGGGTGGGATGGGCAGGCGAGAAGGCCGTTTTCCTAGCCCCGGCCTGCGGGTCCCTCCCTGAAACGCGGTGTCAGATGGTTACTGATTAATATTTTGGAGAGGCCGCGGCGGCGGGCAGCGGGTGAGTCTCTAATCTTCTAAAAGGGGTTCCTATAGAAACGCGGGCCGGGGCGCGCCCCCTGCTTGGCCCGGGCCGGGGCTGCGGCGCTTCGCACAGCGCGCCCCTCCCCAAAGCTCTCTTTGCGTGGGCGCTCCCCTCCCCTTCTCTCCCCCCTAAAAAAATCAGAGCAGAAAAAAAGGATTAGATCGGCTGAGCGCGAACTGACTCCCTCTCGATTCTGACATTTCAGCCTATTAGCATTTCTCCACGGGGCCTTCTGAAACCTATTAAAGTGTAATATTAAAAACCTCTTGGCTGGGGGCCTCTCTCGCCTTCCATCCGCCGCGCTCCCTCCAGGGAGGGCGAGACCGGGAAAAAAAAATCTGTTGAGCTCAGAGGAAGCAGCGGCCAAGCCCAAAAAGTGCTTGGCTGGCCGCGGCGGCCGAAGGGGGAGGGGAGCCCCAATCCCCCAGACTTTGTACTTTTATTTTGCGCTTTCAGCAAAATCCTTTCTGGGTTGAGTCGCCGGGAGCTGCTCGCGGCAACCTTCTTGGCTGCGGGCGCGAGGAGTGCAGACGCGGTCAGAGGGGCCGCCCTGGGGGCCCCGCACCCTCTCTCTGCAGCCCCGCAGGAACCCATGCCCGGCTAGGCATTACGTACCCTCAAAAGGAAGCTTGGAGGGGCAGAAATCCTTGCCGATCCTGCCTCGGAGAGCAACCGCGGTGATTAGATTTTAATTAAAAACAAGAGAAGCCCGCTCTTTCGCCTCGCGATGCGGACTCAGCGTTTTCGCATCGCTCGTTCTATTTTTTTTTTTAAGACATTTTTAAGGCAACTTTTCTGGAAGGGAAAAAAATGAGCTAGTTAGCGCCCATTCGTTCTATTTTCCTTTCTCCACTTTTAGAAAAAAAAAAGGGGGAGGTAGGCTTCGAGAGTGAACTGGGGGTGTCTAATTTAATTCCAGTATAAATTTGAGGAAAAAAGTTCGGCCTCTTGAGGGCAGTTTCAAGTTGCCCTTCCTGGAGCCTCCTGCGCTGGTTTCTAGGCTGCCCTCTTTTGGAAGCTGGAGCTCCGCGGGGGGAGGAGGGAACAGTGAGAAGGAAAGAAAGGAACGAAAATAGCCGAAGCCGAGGGGAACGAGCGGCGGTGTCCGCGCTTGAAGCAGGGCGCATGGGTCTCAGTAGCGGCCAGGGCGGTGGTGCAGCCCCGGGACGGCCAGGAGCAAAGACGGAGAGGAGTAGGGGGTTAGAGAAAGGAGGTATTGTGTCTGTGTGCCTTGGGGGAGGCGGGGTGACTGCAGGAATATAATAAATGCAGTTGAGCTGCGCGGGGCCGCTGGAAGCCAAGGCAGGGAAAGGGGCCGTGCGTGGGGGCGCAGCCCGGGTGGGCGCCGAGCGTCCTCGAGTCTTATCCAGAGGCCTTTGTGGGTTCCTAGTAAACCCTCCCACAGCCGGCCCCCATCGCTTCCCCACCCCCCTGGTTGCCCTCCAGTATTCGGAGCCCAGACTCGGATCCCCCACTCCATTATCCCCGCCCTGGATCTGGAATGTTTTTCTTTACTTTAATATAGCTCAAGGAAAAAAAATGTATCTTGAGCGAGTTCGGGTGGGGAATACAAAGGGCTTGAGGGGTGGAAAAAAACAAAAGCCTCTTTTTATAAATGTTTAATGTTTTCACCCCTGGATGCTCCAAGACGCCGTAATTGTGACGGCGGGGTATGTGTGCCATAAATCATTTAGTTGCTAATAAAAATTCTGCCTGTTTGCCCTGGATTTGCCAATGGCGTTTGCATTTTCCAAGTGTGCTCCTTGTCGGCGTGGCCAACTGAGCCTGCATTTCATTAGGGCCGAGGTTCGGGGCAGGCAAGGTCCCCTCCCTCAGCACCCCCCGTCCCCGGCCTTTGTGGGCCCCAGCCCCCGTGCGCCCCCCTCCCTACACACACACACACACACACACACACACACACCCCGGCAACCGCTCGAGCCCCCACGCCGCCAGAGCCCAGCCGGGGCGCAGGGCCTGGGGATGCGGCGGTGGCTCTCCGTTCCCGGCCGCGGGGCGGGGCGCGCAGGACTGGTTCTGCGCGCACCCTTCCCCGGGCTGCAAGCGTGCTGGGGGTGCGCGCCCTGATCTTCGCGCCCTCCCTGGCCCAGCACCCTGGTGCCCCCGCAGTCGCGGGTAAACAGCGGCCGGGAGCCATCTTGGGGCGGGGGACGGATCCCAAGCCGAGTGGCGGGTGTGCTCCTTCGGAGACCCCCGCCTTTCGTAGGGGGCCTCTGGGGCATTCCTCGCTGGGCTCTGGGGTCTGGGGAAACGCCGTCCCCGCTCTGGTGGGCCGCATTTAAACGTGAAAACCGGGCCTGGGAGCCCTGCGCGGAGCGGGGAACAGCCCCGCCGTCCGCCCGGTCCGGCCGCCATCTTCCGTCCCCCTCCCCCCCACACACTTGTTTACCGGCGGGATCAGTGGCCAGAAAGAGTGTGTTGACGCACTGTGTGTATGTGTGTGTTTTCGTACTGACTGGGCGGAAAATCGGCTGGATGGGGGACCTGGCAACCCTCAGACCTCAGTTGCCGAAGAACCCGCCCAGGCCAGCGCCGTCAGCCGTGGCCAGCCTGGGCCGCCGGAGCAGAGGCCTTTTGTGTGTTCCTAGTTCTCTGGCTCCGTGGACGCGGCCCGACTGACAAAATTCTTCCCCTTTGTTTTAAAACCAAAGGTCAGGCCAACTTTGCGCGCGGCTGCGCCTTCGCCACGCGGGCTCTGCCCCCGAGCCTTGGTCAGTTCTGCTCTATTCAGGGCCGAACCCGGCGCTTTCCGAAATCCCACTGTTGCTGGCTGCGTGGACACGTTTTCCCCATACCCCTCCCCCCGAAAAAAACCAGCATCCTTTACTAGGTCAGGACACCCGAGCCACCTCCACCCGTCACCCGAACCGCCGTTCCCGGTGGGGACCGAAGTCCCCGCGCTCCGCCAGCTTCTCGGTGAAGGGGACCTCGGGCGATCGCCGGCCCCTGCTGCCCGCTCGGGAAGCCCTGGCCGCGTCTTTTAGGCGCCAGTTTCCAGGTCCGGGAACCATGGCGCTCCCGGCCCGGGCACTGCTAAAACCCGGAGAGGCCGCGCCCGGGACAACCATGCTCGCCGTCCCCTTGCTGCGACTGGTTCAGCCGCGATTCGGCGCCGAGCCGAGGGTCGGCCAGCCCAGCCGAGAGCGGCCCCGACTCGCCAGGAAGACCGCGCCGCACGCCACGGGGATCAGGGCTCACGGCGGGCAGACCAGGGGTGAAGCGCCAGGCCCGGCCCCAGCGGATCCCTGCGCCTCTCGGCTCCGCCTCCGGCCTTGGCCTCTTCCTCTGGCCCGGGTCGGGTCTTCCACTCCACTGTTTGGCTCGGAGAGGACGGAGACGAGCTCGGTGCGCCGGGAGCCGGCAGCGGCCATAAATCTCCACGAGCGCCCTCCTTCCCGCTGCTCACGCGCGGGTCCTCCGGGCCAGCCTCGCGTCCCGGGCCGCACCGGGCGCCCTGCTCTCCCGGTCACCGCCTGGGGGCCCTGAGACTGTGCAGGGAGTCAGGCCAGCAGTTTCCCCGTTCGCCAAAGAGAGGGAACGGCCCCACCGACTCGGTGCCACCATCATCCTTCCCCGCAGTCGCCGGACCCCGAAGCAACCTGGGCGTCACCGGATCGCCGCCTGGGGTAGGGGTGCTGAGCCGGGCACTTAATCCTGGGAAGGCTCGGTGAGGCTAGGGTGGGCGCGCGACCACCTGCCTGAGCCCAACTCCGAGGCCACTCGCACCATCGAGGGGGCGACGCCAGGGTCCGGGTCAGAGCGGCTTCTCAGAACTCAGCGCGCTGCCCCGCGGGGTCTCCGAAGACCCCGTCTTAATCCCGCGCCATCGTTCTGCCCTTGGAGCCCTCTGCGGGCGCACGATGCGGGGAGGGGGGCTTGTTTTACGCGGAGAGCACCAAGCAGGGTGTCTGCGGGCGCCGCGCCCGGAAGGCAGGGGCTCCCTCTGGTTCCCCACCCCGCGCCAGCCCATCTTCCTCTCCATGCCGGGGATACGCTGGGCTTTTCGCCGCCCGGCCCCGGCTCAACGCCCTCGTCGGCCGCCGCCTTTGGCGCAAATAGCCTAACCGTCGGGAAAGCAGAAATCGGTCGAGCAGTGTGGCAGCATGGTAGGGGCGGCGGTCTTTTTACCCGAACAGTCATGAGGCGCTGGGGGG